GAGAAGGGGGACAGGGGAACATCCCTCAAAGAAAGGGGTGCGACGGTCGCCGCGAGAAGCACCTACAGCTAAGATACTCTTCTCAGCCGTAGTGAGGCGCTCCTCTAGCAGGTCGACAGTGAGCTCGGTGGGGCAAAGGGAGAGAAAGTGGTCCATGACTGACGCAAGGGAGTCAGGGAGGCGAGTGACTAGGTAGTAAAGGGTGATGTACATGGGGGGGGGGGGTTCTTTGCACAGAACTGTTATAGTCACAATAGGCTTGAATGTGCCTAAAACGAAAGATAGAGAGCACAGACGGATTTCTGCACAGCGGCTTCAAACGTTGATAGCGTTCTGCTCACAGCTGCAAATGACTTGATTCAAATTGGATCTGGAGCGTCTTTACGTCGTCTACAATTATCAATTTAGATTGCACGATTTGATAAAGAATTGACGACAAAGCGTCGGTTTGAACGAACGGTACTATGGCAGCCACTATAGTCTTAGAACACAAGATAGGAAGAGTTACGAGTTGGGAATGACTCCCAGCTCCTACAAACCCCAAGAGCCGAGGTACAGTGATGTGGAACAGTGCCACACTGTCCCCAACCACGAAGGGTCTCGAAACTACCCTTCAATAGGGCCTACACCAAGTGAAATGTTACACTACACAAAGTAATGTAACTATCTTCAATATCTTGAGGTGTACCCTTTTGGCGAGCTTCGAAATCACTTGAGGCTTGACACCAAGGCTCGGGCTCTTCATCACAAACTCATCCTTGAGTTCTTGATGGGTCTGCTGCACACACCTGCGACACACCGAACGTTCGACACAGGACAAAATAGAAACCGCGCACGACAAAATAGAAACCGCGCGCGAGACACAAACGACCGCGTAACACGCGTCTAGCGATAACTCGCTGTTGACTCGACACACACACTCGACATCATGACTCAACATTCACACACAATTATAAGCATGAAATATATATTATCCCATGCCCTCATACCATTCCATACACACACACATTCACGCACACGGACAACAAGCCGAGTGCAAACCGTAGGGTTGCACCAACAAGAACTCAGTGGGAAGCGCAGCGCGGTAGCGGGTGTCACTAGTGCGGAGGTGGGTAATGAGGTCAGCGACTGTGGCAAAGGTGGCAAGGTCAGGGAAAAGGTACGGCAGCATGAGGCGGCTGAGGGCAGCAGTGGCGGGGGAGGAGTAGCGCGCTACGACAGCGTCGTACAAACACTTAGCAGTCTTGTACTGGCCAAAATGCGCGCGCTCAGCAGACGGCAGGTGACTACGAACAGCAAGGCGAGCAACAGCGTCACGAGTGGTCCACTGCGAGCAAACCGTACTGTCAGCAGTGGCAGTAGGTGCAGTAGAGACACCGGACGTGTGATCGAACAGGGATACCCCATCCCTAGAGTCACACTGAAGAAAAAGCTGTAGGTAGTCAACCCACACGTCAAAGTCAACTGCACGCCCCTCAGCATCAAAGGTGAGAACAGTAGGGCTAGCCATAGCAGCAGTAGTAGCAGTAGCAGCAGGAACCGTGCAAGCAGTAGGGCAGCGCGGCTCGGCAGTGCGGCGCGGCTCGGCTGGACGGCGCGGCTCGGTGGGGCGGCGCGGCTCGGCTGGGCGGCGCGGCTCAGCAGGGCGGCGCGGCTCGGTTCCTGGCGGCGCGGCGCGGCAGCAGACGGCGCGGAGCGGCAGGGCAGCGCGGGTGCTTACCAGGGGCGGGTGCAGGGCAGGGCTGCAGCTGGCGGTTAAGGTCAGGGCCGCGACCGGGGCAGCAGCAGGGCAGGGCCGCGATAAGGCGGCTGCAGGGCAGAGGCCGCAACGGGCGGCGAAGGCAGGGCCGCTACTAGGGCGGCAGCAGGACAGGGCCGCGACAGGGGGCGGCTGCAGAGCAGGGCCGCGATAGGCGGCGAACGGGCCGACGACGGGCGGCTGCAGGGCAGAGGCCGTGACTGGGCGGCTGCAGGGCAGAGGCCGCGACGGGCGGCGAACGGGCCGACGACGGGCGGCAAACGGGCCGCGACGGGCGGCAACCGGGCCGACGACGGGCGGCGACGGGCCGACGACGGGCGGCAAAGGGGCCGAGACGGGCCGAGACGGGCCGGGACAGGCCGGGTTGGGCCGAGACGGGCCGGGACAGGTCGGGACGGGCCAGTGACGGGCGAGCGCGGGGCCGTAGTGGGCGGCTAAGGCAGGGCCGCGACTCGTGGCGACGGGCCAGCGACGGGCCAGCTAGAGAAGGGCGCGCGACGGCGCAGGTAAGGCAGGCGCGAGGCGCGCTTCGGGCAGGGCAGGAAAAAAAAATGTTCGTGGTGGGCCCTAAAAAAAACGTTCCCACGAGGGAACCTGCTCAGAATACCATGTCAGAATCCGGAACGAATGAATGAACTAGCAAGCAGGTGGGTACAAGTAGGAAACCTAAAAGTGTTGTACCCTATATGAACTACCCCACTACAGCATAGATAGACTATAGCATATAAGTTTGACACTGTTTAGATATCTTCCCGGACGACCTACTACCAGAATCCCCCGAGGACCACAAAATCCAGCTGGAACCAATCGCGCAACCGATTGCTCGTACACAGTGGCGGATGACTCAGACTGTGTTAGAATGAGCTTAGTAGTGCCTAGGGTTTGGGTGCTAAGGCAACTGTAGAGAGTAGAAAGGAAGAGGTGTTTCACTAGGAGAACAAGGTACAAGATATAGGAGCGAGAGATGGCAAAGGGTGCACCACCTACAGGGACTATGACAGTAACTACACTAGAGCTAGAACTACATGCAGTTATACAGAAATATATAAAAAATATATTCTGACACACCCCCTAACTGCATGCAGGAATAGCCATGTGCAGAACACCCCCTGAAGAGGTACACCCTGCGCAGCGGAAGACAATAGAGAGGTAAGTGAGGAGGAGGAGACGAGAGAGAGAGAGAGGGGAGAGGAGAAGAATGAGGAGAGGAGGTGGGGGGAGCCACGCGACGAGCCCCTCTTACTAACCCCCGTTTTATAATGGGGGGAGGGGTGAGAGAGGGATGAGGAGAGGAGGTGGGGGGAGCCACGCGGCGAACCCCTCTTATGAACCCCCGTTTTACAAAGGGGGGAGGGTGAGAGAGGGAGGAGAGGAGGTGGGGGGAGCCTAGCTCGGCGAGCCCCTCTTACTAACCCCCTAATTCCACGCCCCCTTTCAGCCACCCCCCTCAACCTCACCCCCCTTGTCAACCGCCCCCTGGAACCTCACACCTTCCCCCCACCCTTCCTCCAAAGCCTTCCCCAACCACGGTGGTCCCTGCTCAAGCCTTCACACGGCGGCCAGAAACCCGCCACCCCCTCACCCTCCCCCCCACAGTGGAACGTGCGGCAGTGAGAGAGAGAGGAGGAGCGGCGGCAGCTGGGTGCTCACACCCGCCACCCCAAACCCACCCCCCCCCACTGTTGCACGCGCAGCAGGGAGAGAGAGGGGAAGGCAAGCGGCAGCGGCAGTAGCTCCTCCCGTCACTCCCACCACTCCACCCTCTCCACCCCCCCCCCCCCCCCCACAGCAGCAGGTGCGGCCGTGAAAGAGAGAAGAAGAGGGTGGTGCTGTTGGTGCCACCTCCCCCTTACACCCCCTCCCCCTCCCCCCAAACTGCTGCACACGCAATAGGGAGAGGGAATAGAAGGGAGGGGGGGGGCGAGGTGTGCGATCTGGTGGGGCGGGCGCAGGCAGGCAGGGCGCACGAGGCGCCAGGCAGAGGCGCACGAGGCGCCGCGCAGAAACCGCTGCTGCAGTAGGAGCAGCAAGGGGGGAAAGGAGAGGCGGAGGAGGGGGGGGGGAGCTGCTGGCTTGGTGACGAAGCAGAGCAGCGGGGCGCTGGAGGTGCAACCACCCCCCACCGCCACTCCTGCGTCCTCCCAACACCCTCCCCCCCCAAACTGCTACACGCGAATCAGGAGAGGGAGGAGGAAGCGGGCGGCGGGGACAACGGGAAGTAGGGCAGCGGGGCCCCCGCGCGACGGGCAGAAAACCGTCGCACACTGGGGGTGAGCGACGAGCAGAACACCGTCGCGTGCTGGGGGCGCGCAACAAGCAGAAACCGACGCACGCCCGGGGCATGCGACGGGCAGAAACCGCCACACGCCCGGGGCATGCGACGGGCAGAAACCGCCACGCGCTCGGGGCGTGCGTCGGGCAGAAACCGCCGCGTGCCCGGGGCGCACGACGAGCAGAAACCGCCGCGCGCCCGGGGCGCACGACGTGTTTAGCATAAGCTCCTGAAACAGCAGCGGATTTTGCGCCAGCAGCACAGTGGGCCGCCACGGCACAAGGCGGATTTGGTGGGCCCATGTAGAATAGGTCCTAGAAAATACCACACTTTGATAACATGTTAGAATGAGCTTAGTAGTGCCTAGGGTTTGGGTGCTAAAGCAAATGTCGAGAGTAGAAAGGAAGAGGTGTTTCACTAAGAGAACAAGGTACAAGATATAGGAGCGAGAGATGGCAAAGGGTGCACCACCTACAGGGAATATGACAGTAACTACACTAGAGCTAGAACTACATGCAGTTATGCAGAAATATATATAAAATATATTCTGACAGACTGAACCTAAGGAGCTACGAAGTCAAATTGACGGGCTGATGGAGAAAAGTTTCATCAGACCCAGCACGCCACCCTTCGCGTCACCGACCCTGTTCACGCCAAAAAAGGATGGCGGCATTCGCATGTGCCTCGACTATCGCGCGGTAAACAGGGTTACAATCAAGTCTCGCTATCCAATCCCACGCACCGACGACCTCCTCGATCAACTTCACGGCGCTCGCTACTTCTCGACTTACGTGGCGGTTACCACCAGATTTGAGTTTTCGATGACGACTGTCACAAGACTGCATTTTGAACCCGCTATAAAAGCCACGAATTTACAGTGATGCCCTTCGGCCTCATGAAGACGCTTTCAACGATTCAACTGACCATGAACAGGGTGTTTCCGAAACGTCTCGACAAGTGCATCATCGTCTACTTGGATGACATCCTGATATTTAGCAGGACACGAGAACAACACCTCCACGACCTCGACGAAGTCTTCAAACGCCTTCAATCCAACCGCCTTATCACTAAGGGTTCTAAGTGCAAGTTTTTTTTAAGCAGGAGTTGGAGTTTTGAGACACGTCATCTCCCGCAACGGCATCAAAATCGACCCGAAGAAAATTAAGACCTTTCCAGGAGTGGAAGGCCCCGATTGATATTACGGAAATCCAGTGCTTTCTGTCAAACATACATTGTTAGGCTGTAATGGGTTACTCCCTATGGGGTACAACCCTTGTTAGGGTTAGTACTTGTACCACATTTCCTGCTTTAATCAAACCATTCCTGTTTTCTATTTTGACATGGTATAAAAAAACGTTCCGTTCTATGACCGTTTTTTTTTTAGGGCCCACTGTTCGTTCCGTCCTGCCCGTCGATCAGTTTTTCCCTGCCCTGGCCAAAGTTTTTATGCCCTGTCCAGCACGCTGCCCACGCGCTGCCTGAGCTGCTACAAGCTGTGCGCTGCCGCCCACTGCCCAGCGCCAGCGCGAGTCCTGCTGCCCAGCGCCCGCGCGCGCCCTGCTGCCCAGCGCCCACGCGCGCCATGCTGCCCCTTACCAGTGCGTGCCCCGCTGCCCAGGGCTCGCGCGTGCCCTGCTGCCCAGCGCCTGCACGCGACCCGCTGCCCTGCGCCCGCGCGTGCCCCGCTGCCCAGAGCCAGCGCGTGCCCCGCTGCCCTGCGTCCGCACGTGCCCCGCTGCCCAGCGCCCGCGCGCACCCTGCTGCCCTGCGCCTGCGCGTGCCCCGCTGCCCAGAGCCAGCGCGCGCCCCGCTGCCCTGCGTCCGCGCGTGCCCCGCTGACCAGCGCCAGCACGCTCCCCGCTGCCCAGCGCCCGCGCGCCCCGCTGCCCTGCGCCTGCGCGTGCCCCGCTGCCCAGAGCCAGCGCGCGCTCCGCTGCCCAGAGCCAGCGCGCGCCTCGCTGCCCTGCGTCCGCGCGTGCCCTGCTGCCCAGCGCCAGCACGCGCCCCGCTGCCCAGCACCCGCGCGCGCCCCGCTGCCCTGTGCCTGTGTGTGCCCCGCTGCCCAGAGCCAGCGCGCGCTTTGCTGCCTTGCGTCCGCGCGTGCCCCGTTGCCCTGCGCCAGCACGCGCCCCGCTGCCCTGCGCCAGCACGCGCCCCGCTGCCCTGCGCCAGCGCGCGCCCCGCTGCCCAGCGCCCACGCGCGCTCTGCAGCCCAGCGCCAGCACGTGCCCCACTGCCTAGCACCCGCGCGTGCCCTACTGCCCTGTGCCTGTGCGCGCCCCGCTGCCCAGCGCCCGCGTTCCCCTGCCCGCGCGCAAGTGCTGCCTGCTGCTGCCGCCCTAGGTGCTGCTGCCCTAGGAGCTACCGCCTGGTGCTGCCCTAGGTGCTGCCGACTGCTGCTGCCGCCCTAGGTGCTACCGCCTGCTGCTGCCGCCCTAGGTGCTGCTGCTGCCGCCCTAGGTGCTGCCGCCTGCTGCTGCCCTAGATGCTGTCCCCCTAGGTGCTGCCGCCTGCTGCTGCCACCCTAGGTGCTGCTGCCACCCGCGTGCGCTGCTCTGCACTGCCCTGTCCCGCGCTAGCGCCGCCTTGCCCCGAGTGCTGCTACACTGCTACTGCAGCCTGTGCTACTACTGCTGTGCTGCTGCTGCTGCTAAGTTGCAGCTGTTGCTACGAGCTGCCATTGCCTGCCATGGCCACTACCACTGTCCTAGGTCAGCGGTAGCTGAGTGTGCAGGAGTCTCTCTCGCCGCAGCAGCTTCGCGAGTGGGCTATGTGGTGGGGCAGCCCCGGTGGAGGAGCTAGCCGTGCTAGAGCTGGAGGTGCTGGTGCTGGCGGTACCCGTACTCGTCGACAGGAGATGCTCTGGTTGCAGCAGCTTCGCAAGAGGGCTGTCCGGTGGGGCAGCCCCGGTGGCGGAGCCTGGGGTGCTACTCCTGGAGGTACCTATGAGTCTACTCCTGCTGGTAGTGCCGTTGGTAGACGCGGAAGTTCTGGGGGTGGACAGCAGCAGCAGCAGCAGCGTCCGCCAGAGACTCTCTCCCCGCAGCAGCTTTGTGAGAGGGCTGTCTGGTGGGGCAGCCCCGGTGGCGGAGGGTTTCGGGGTACTCGTACTAGGGGTGTAGAGGCACCTGGTGGTGTAGAGGCTACTAGTCTCGGAGTGTGTGACTCAGCTAGCACAGGTGCAGAGTCTGAGGAGGCCTTGCACTCTTTCACTCTAGACTCAGGCGCGTCTTACTGCTTCTTCCGCGACTGCACCACAGTCACACCGCTCACAGTCCCGGTCTCTATCACTCTGGCCGACCCCTCTGGTGGCCCAGTCATTGCACGTGGCTCCACTGTTCTCCCGTGTCCGGCAGCCCCCTCCGGTTCCCTCTCAGGTCTCCACCTCCCCTCGTTCGCTAAGAACTTGGTGGCTACCACTGTCCTACAGGACCAGTGGGTCACTGTCACCCAGCCTGGAGGAGAGCTCGTGGCGATCTGTACGGACTCACGCACTGGCGAGCACCTTGCCACGTTCACTCGAGGCTCGGGTCTGGTCTGTACACACTGACCACTGAGTCTGCACTGGTAGTTGAGTTAGGTCCGGTAGCTGTGCCGGTTGAGGTCGCTGCGTCTTGTTCATGTCGTCTCCTCACGCACCAGACTCTCCTCTGGCACCACCGTCTTGGCCACCCCTCCTTGCCACGCCTGCGTGGCATGCACTCCCGTCTCCTTGTGTCTGGTCGCCCCAGGTCCCTACCCCCACTTCCGAGGTCGCTTGCACCGCCCTGCCTTCCCTGCGTTGAGGGGCGGCAGCGCGCCGCTCCTCACTCCTCCTCGTTTCCTCCTACCACTGCTCCTCTGCAGACCCTCCACATGGACGTGTGGGGCCCCGCCTGCGTCACTGGACAGGGTGGCGAGCGCTACTTTCTGCTGGTTGTGGACGACAGTACGTGTCAAACTATAATTGTTATAGTTTGTTAGTTTAGTCTAGGTGTTACACAGAATTATGTTGTAGAGGTTATAACCCCCCTAGGGTTTGCTATATGCTCCCTTGTACTGCTTGTTTCTACTCAATTCATTATTCAGTTACCTCGTTGACATGGTATAGAGCAGCTCGATTCCCGTTAGTACCCCGTTACCCGTAGTGCCCCGTCACCCCTTAGCGCCTCGCTCCCCCCCCCCCCCGTCGAATCACCCGCTAGAAGAGACCCCCGCGGGTCCCCCCACGTCGCGACCTAGGAAGACCCCCGTGGGCCCCCCGAATCGCGCGCTAGAAGGACCCCTGTGGGTCCCCCACGTCGTGACCTAGGAAGGCCCGCGCGGGCCCCCCGAATCGCGAGCTAGAAGGACCCCCGCGGGTCCCCCACGTCACGACCTAGGAAGGCCCGCACGGGCCCCCTGAATCGCGTGCTAGAAGGACCCCCGCGGGTCCCCCACGTCGCGACCTAGGAAGGCCCCCGCGGGCCCCCCTGATTCGCGCGCTAGAAGGACCCCCGTGGGTTCCCCACATCGCGACCTAGGAAGGCCCCCCCTGGCCCCCCGAATCGCGCCTTAGAAGGGCGCCCCGCCACCTTGCAGCCCTCCCCGTCGCGTCGCCTCCCCGTCGCCTCCCCTTCCCCTCCCCGTCGCGTCGCCTCCCGTTTCCCTCCCCGTCGTGTCCCCTCCCCATCGCCTCCCCGTCGCATTCCCTCCCCGTCGCCTCCCCTTCCCGTCCCCATCACGTCCCCTCCCCATCGCGTCCCCTTTGCCTCCCCGTCGCATCCCCTCCCCGTCGCGTCCCCTTCCCCTCCCTGTCTCGTCGCCCTTCGCGTCGCATCCCCGTCGCCCCCCCAACCCCTTCAAGTTGCCTCCTTGTCCCCTGTACCCGCCGCCCCACCCTGTACCTGCCGCCCCACCCTGGGCCCGCCGCCCCACCCTGTACCCGCCACCCTAACCTACGCCCAGAACCGCCCAGAACCACCCAGAACTGCCCAGGACCGCCCTCGTCCAGAACCGTCCCAAACCGCCCAGAACCGCCCAACACTGCCCAGAATTGCCCAGAACCGCCCAGGATCGCCCAGAACCGTCCAAAACCGCCCAGAACTGCCCATAACCGCCCAGAGCTGTCCAGAACCGCCTATAACCGCCCAGAACCGTCCAGAACCGCCCAAAACCGGACAAGACCACCCAGAACCGCCCAGAACCGCCGAGAACTGTCCGGAACCGCCCAAAACCGCCCAGAACCACCCAAAACCGCTCCCCACCGCTCTAGACCTGCCTGAACCAGCAGCAGCTTGGGTTGCCCCCAGCAGCACCAGCAACAGCATAGGCTGCCCAAGGCAGAACCAGCAGCAGCATAGACTGCCCCCAGCAGAACGAGCAGCAGCATAGGCTGCCCCAAGCAGAACCAGCAGCAGCATAGGCTGCCCCCCATCAGAACGAGCAGCAGCTTAGGCCGCCCCCAGCAGAACCAGCAGCAGCATAGGCTGTAGCCAGCAACCGCTCCTAGCTGGTCCCCACCGCGCTCGGCCGTCTCTATCGTCTACCATGGCGTGTGCTAGAGTTTTGCAGCAGCTGCAGCGTCAGCCGCAGTGACATCAGCTACAGCACACCCGGCAGTGGGGAGCTGAGGGTCCTCAGAGTACCGGCCACAGCAGCGGCTCAGCCAGTAGTAGGCGCGACGTCGGTCCCTGCGGGAACCGGATCCTGACTGGCCCGGGTGCTGGCACCACCTGCTGGAGTCCTGACCACTCTAGGTCCCGCTGCTACCGTCACCTCGACGACCTCCACTGTGAGCGTTTTGGTCCTCATGCTATTACACCGCACTGGCCCTCACGTCTTCGCCAGCGCACTGCTGCACGAGTTGAGTCTCACTGACCTGGTCTAGGACCTTTTCTGACTGCACGAGTAGAGACCTGTGTTTCCAGCCTTGGTGTGTGTGTAGTTTACAGTCTAGGCGCCTCTGAGGGTCTTTGTGTGGGAGCTGCAGCTACCACTAGTCTAGCACCAGCCTTTGTCGTTGCCTCGGGTGCGACCTCACAGTCTGCACAACTTTCTTTCACCCTAGACTCTGGAGCGTCCAGCTGTTTCTTTTGCGACTGCACCGACCTCACGCCACTGCGCACTCCAGTCGCTGTCGCCTTGGCTGACCCCTCCGTGGGACCTGTAGTCGCCCACAACACCACCACTCTCCCGTGTCCGGCAACTCCCTCTGGGTTTCTCATAGGTTACTACACCCCCTCGTTCTCTAGGAACCTGGTGGGTGTCAGTCACCTCCACGACCTAGGTGTAGTCACTACTTTCCCACTCGACAAGCCCGTTGCCTCCTGCACAGTCAGTGCCACTAGGGCGGTTCTAGCCACTTTCCACAGGGAGCCGAGCTCTGGTCCGTACTCACTACACACTAGGTCCCACCACATAGGGTCAGGTCAGGTCAGGTTAGATCAGGCCAGGTAGCTGCTGTGTCGTGCGACTATCGGTCACTCACCCACCCGTCAGTCCTCTAGCACCACCGTCTAGGTCACCCGTCGTTCCCACGTCTTAGTAGGATGGCATGTTACCGTCTAGTCTCAGGTCTCCCAGAGTCGCTTGCACCGCTTCCCCGCCCACATGCGCTGCCGTGCACTCCTTGCGTCGAGGGTCGGCAGCGCGCTGCCCCTCACTCCTCCTCGTTCCCCCCGACCATGGCTCCCTTCCAGACCTTGCACTTGGATATCTGGGGCCCCTCCCCGGTCCTTGGCCCACGTCAGGAGTGCCACTTCCGGATTGTGTTGGACGAATACTCCCGCTACACCACGGTTTTCCCCTTTCGACAGAAGGCCGTTGAGCCTACCGTCCTCGAGCCGTGGCTACTAGCGAGGGGTGGCGCCCAGGGCCTTTGTGGGCTTCGCCTACACTCGGACCGTGGTGGTGAGTTTTCTTCCACTCGCCTGGAGACGTTCTGTAAGGGTCGGGGATCATCCAGACTTACATGCTACCAGCCTCGCCGCAGCAGAACGGGGTAGCCGAGCAATGCATCGGCCTGGTCATGGAGGTTGCCCGGACCTCCATGTGCCATGCCGATGCCCCCCAGTTCTTGTGGCCTCAGGCAGTCCGCTACGCGGCACACCAGCTAAACCTGTGGCCCAGTGACGCGGGTAGAGCAGGATTCCCGCCCGCAGCAGCAGGTGCAGTTACAGACACAGCAAGAGGGAGTAGAGGAGTCACGATCGTAGCAAGAGAGGGTAGCACAGGAGTCCCGGTTGCAGCACCGAGTGCAGCTGCAGCCGCAGCACGAGAGGGCAGAGGAGGAGCCACGGGAGCAGCAGTAGGGGCATGTACTGTCGCAGCAGACGCCAGAGGAGGCGAAGCAACAGTGACTGCGACTGCGCAACCTGCCTGACTCAGCACCTGCATGCTTGGTTTGTGGTCCCCAACTGTCCCCTCGTGTTCCCCCCGTCCAATCTCTTTCCTTGTCCCAGTGGACTCGTTGTTCTCCCCTCAGTCGTGCTGTGTCTCCAGAGCTCTGTCGGTCCCGTTACCGTGCAGACGGTCCGTTTCACCTTCTTCTCCGCTCACGTGCTCCACCTCCTCCTGTCGTCCCACAGCCTCGAAGAGTCCCTCACTGTGTTTCACGATCCATTGTCCGACTACCTCCGTGCCTCTCGTCTTGTCGTCTCCCGTGTTTTTTCGGCGTTGGTCACTCACCCGACTGCACCTCTGTCGTCTGTCTCGGCACTTGTTACCACTGTCGCTGGCTTTGCCTCTTCCCACCGCTTTGACTACGCCGCTCACTTGGTGAGTGGCCCTGCTCGTTCTCCGTTCTCTGGGGGTGCTAAATGTTTTTCCCTTGGAGGTCCTTGAGGATAGGCAGTTCGAGCTTGGTATCCTTGCGGCCGCTGTTCCTCATCTCTGCGCCATGCTGCTTGCCCTTGAGGGGGATCCAGACGCCCTTGACATACCGATCACTCGCACTCATGCTGAAGCAATCTCGGAACCCTAAGCTTCATACTGGATAGCAGCTGAGGAGGCAGGGATGGCATCTTATAGGTCCACAGGCGCCTACGTCGACGCCGTCCCACCACCTGGGGCGAACGTTGTCAGTGGCATGTGGCTCTACAAGGTGAAGCGGCTGCCTGGAGCACCACCAGTGTTCAAGGCGCGCTACGTGGCGAGAGGCTTCAGTCAGCGAGAGAGGGTAGACTTCTTCTAGACCTTTGCTCCCACCCTGAAGATGACCACACTTCGGGTGTTGCTGCATATTGCAGCTCAGCACGGCTACGAGTTGCACTCCTTAGACTTCTCTGTCGGGACGGGAGGTGACGGGAATGCAGCGGGAAGGGGACAGGAGGTGACGGGCGCGCGACGGGGAGGGGGCGGGGGGTGACGGGGGCGCGACGCGGAGGGCAGCGGGGGACGAGACGGGAAGGGGACGGGAGGCGACGGACGCGCGACGGGGAGGAGACGGGGGGTGACGGGGGCGCGACGCAGAGGGCAACGGGGGACGCGACGCGGAGGGAACGGGGGGGCGACGGGAAGGGGGCGGGGTCGCGACGTGGGGGGGGACCCGCGGGGGTCCCTTCTTAGCGCGATCTGACGGGCCCGCTGGGGCCGTTCTAGGTCGTGACTTGGGGGGACCCGCGAGGGTCCCTTCCTAACGCGATCTAGCGGGCCTGCGGGGGCCGTTCTAGGTCGTGATGTGGGGGGACCCACAGGGGTCCCTTCCTAGCGCGATCTAGCGGGCCCGCGGGGGCCATTCTAGGTCGTGACGTGGGGGGACCCGCGGGGGTCCCTTCCTAGTGCGATCTAGCGGGCCCGCGAAGGCCGTTCTAGGTCGTGACGGGTGACGGGCTGGGCTAGCGGCCTGACGGGATCGACGGGGGGGCGCTACGTGTAACTAGGCGCTACAGATGATGAGGCGCTACGGGTGACGAGGCGCTACGGGCTAGGTCAGGGTACTGGGCGGTGGGCCCATTGAATCTTATCGCTCTATACCATGTCAAAGTAATAACTTGTGAATGAATGATGAAATCAAGGGCATACAAGGGTTAATATAGCAAACCCTAACCCTAGTGCTAGGACGAATGTAACACAGTGGAGAACACCTAGACTAAACTAACAAACTATAACAATTATAGTTTGACATTCTCCACCACGTTCCTACAGGGGAGCGTGCACGAGCAGATATGGCTGCGTCGCCCGCCTGGCTTCGGTGGCTCTTTCCCTCCTGGGACCCAGTGGCAGCTGCATCGACCGGTCTACGGCCTGCGCCAGGCTCCCCGCGAGTGGCACGACACGCTACGTACGAGTCTTGCAGCGCTTGACTTCTTTCCGTCATCTGCCAACCCGTCGTTGTTCGTCCGCCATGGCTCGACCCCGTTCTTTGTTCTGGTCTACGTTGACGACCTAGTCTTTGCCACTCCCGACCGACGCGCCCCGGCCTCCGTGAAGGAAGAAATGCAGAGGAGACACACTTGCACTGACCTTGGTGAGCTGCGGCGCTACCTTGGCCTGCAGATCACCAGGGACAGGGCAGCTCGCACCATTACGCTGACGTAGTTGCATATGGTCGAGCAGATCCTCACGTGGTTTCGCTTCCCATTCTCCAAGGTACAGCCCACCCCTCTTGATGTGGATCATGGGCTCACGACTCCACCTTTGGAAGAGCCATTTGAGTCCAGTGGTCCATATCCTGAGCTGGTGGGTTGTCTCGTGTACCTGATTAGCTTACCCTCTGAGCGTCCTTGCGCACTTTGTTGCACCTGGGAGACACCGACCTTCCCACTGGTACGCTGCTAAGAGGGTGGCGAAGCATGCGACGAGTACATGAGGCATGGGACTTGTCC